TGAATGACCTTGTTGACTGCAGCTGGCAATGCTATGGTGTGTGCTTGAGAGGTGCTACAAGAGCAGAGCTTTTGTGTTCTCACTGTAATGACAAAATGGTAATTACATGAGGGAGAGGATGTGATAATAAACTTATTGTGGTAAACACTTTATGACACATAGGTATATCGACCCTCACAGTGTATGCCTTAAACTTACATAATGTTATATATATGTCAGTTATATGCCAATAAGGCTGGGGTGAAGAAAGAACAGATACCCATGAGCTCTGGGATCCCCTACTGTGGGGAGAGGCTGCTCACCTTGAATTTCCTTGCAGTATTCTCAGGGAGGGGGGGTAGTTCTAGTATCTGTCCCCCTGAGAGCTTCCAGAGCCTGTCCACTTCTCTGCAGGCTGCGTCTGCCTCTGGCTACTCCATCAGACCCACTCTCTGACCCAGGCTACCCCTCTGGGTGTTTGCTGATTGTGGTCCAGGTGTTCTCAGAACTGTGGCCAAAGAAAATTCTGTGAGGCTGGAGCCCTTTGGTTATGCCCCCATTTGACCAGGAGTCTACTTCTGGGGATCTTCTGTTTAAAAATGAAGACATTAAGACTCAGAGAGTTCAAGTCATTTGCCCAAGGTCACACAGATAGTTGCAGACCTAGGATTTAAACATAAATTTTCTGGTTCCAAAGTTTATTTCTTACCTTTATACCACACCAGTCAGCTCACTAACCAAAGTCCATTCCCAAACACGTCAAGTTGCTTGAAACATAGTTTTATATTCACTAGGAAATAAAATCACAGGGAACACTGATGGTTGCTATTTTCAAATTTACATATGACTGTAGGAATATCTCACCGTTTTTCTTAAACTACCCTTTATGTAAATGTGATTATTGAGCTTCACGAATGATGAAGATGAAATAATTTGCAGGATGTGTCAGCCAGGATGCACCCCAAACTACACGTGGCACACTGACAAAACTGGTTTCCCCGTCGAAATAACTTGTAAATATCTTGTGCCCTTTTGACATTCAACATAAACTCTGACTTTGACAGGTAAGCCCACAGACTCACCATCCAATCGTATGGGATTCATTACTGTGTTCCAACTTTACGAACAACAGGAGGCCAGGGGTGATGGCCTGAACTCAGGATCCCAAGCTCCCAGTCCACCTTCAGATTTAGCTTTTCTTTTATCTTGTTTCCTGACGCCCTCTTGTGGTCAAGAACAAAGTGCATTCTCAGAAGGCCTATCGTAAGCTCCAGGTACTACCAATAGATTTGAGAGACACTTCCGATTTGGGGGTGGAACCCCCCCCCCCCCCGGAACAACACTCCCCTTCCCATAAATCCATGTACTTGCAAACCTTATAAAAGTGAGCTTCATTTTTCTAATTATAAGAGAAATACATGTTTCAAAATTTTGGAAATTGGAAAGTACAGAAAAGTGTGAAGAAAATAAACACAACATATACTCTGACCTGGCAGAGGTAGTGACTGTGAAGTTTTGTTAAGCATTCCTAATTTTTTATATACAGGTAAATATGTATCACATTTAATTTTTGAGTACACAATACAACATAATTAGTCTATCACCAGCTCCTGAACTGGCTGTAATTAATGCCTATACCTCTCCATGGGCACCTCCTCTGCCCGGTCCTTCTGTCTGCTGCCCGGTCAGAGGTAAACAGTGGTGTTTATGGTTATAACTTCCGTGTTTCTTCTTAAAGGAAAAGTAGCACACACACACTGATTGTACATGTACTTATGTTTCTTCTTTTTTTCTTCTCACTTATCTGATTGTACCAGAGCACCAGAATATGGATGTGTTATAGTTTTTTTACTGAATCCTCTGAATGTTGGCCATGTTTGCTATTTTAAATTTTTTGCTACTCTAAATCATTCAAGCTTTTCAAGATAAATCTTTGCACAAACCGATGGTGATTTCTTTGAGATGTGTCCCTAGACATGGAATTTCAGGAATTTGTGATATATTAAGTCTTTGGCCACTCTGACCCTCTGCCCTGGAAGCCGTTTCTGCGCTGCCTGCCTGGGTCATTCTGACGCCAGTTTTCAGACGAACCATTAGTCTCCTCCCTATGCACAGTTGGGCGCTTTTACTGCTTGGGTGCCTGTGCTCTGCTGCCTCCTTGTAGAAGCTCGGACACACGGCTTGTACTTCCTCTTCTTCAAAGATGCCTAGGGAGTCCTCACCCCTCAGAATTTTGGAGTTCTTGAGAACACCAAGTGCACCCCTTTCCTTTAAAGAAATAGAGAATTAATACCACTGACTTCAGACTGTTAATTTTTCTTACACCTAGGGTGACTGAGCTACCAGTTCTTCACAGTGGGCCTTCTGTTCATAATTGGTTTTTCATTTCTGAGGGTAAAACTATACTAACCTGAGATTTTTCTCTCAAAAAGGCAAGGTAGGCAGCAGGTTATCTTGACTAGAGTAGGGGACCCTAATTGGGGAACTTGCTCACTAGGTGACACCATCTTCCTGGGCCTTGGACCCACACAGCACTGCCACACTGGGTGTCTCCTTACACTTGGGCTCTGAGCATGGCGTCCTGTAAATAGCAAGCACTTAGCAAATGTCTCACACCTAAGGGAGTCTAAATGCCCTGCTCTAAAATTGTGACTCTAGAGCTTTTGTTGCAGAAGAATGCGATGTTATTAGGATTTAGACTGAGAATATACAATATTTTCTATACTTCCCAAGAGTTTAGATCCCAGTGTAGGCAGGGAAATGAGAACTGGCTGTAGTTCTGAAGTTGCCAAGGCCAGAGACCTGACGTGGACCTGGATGTAGGTAAGCTGACAGGGCCAGAAGGACAGGAAGCTCTGCTCCTTAACGGTTTCTTTCACGACCAGGTGCAGGGCACTGTGGGGGAAGGAAGTTTCTCTGCATGACCTGGGATGGGTGCTGTCTGGTCCTTCAGGAGGAAGATCTTTGGATAACAGAAGCCATCTTTTTTTTTTTTTTAAGATTTTATTTCATTTTTAGAGAAAGGGGAAGGGAAGGAGAAAAGACAGGAAGAAAAGCATTGATGTGTGGTTGCCTCTCTCACACCCCCTATTGGAGACCTGGCCTGCAAACCAGGCATATGCCCTGACTGGGAATCGAACTACAATCCTTTGGTTCCCAGGCCCACACTCAATCCAATGCACTATACCAGCCAGGGCCAGAAGCCATCTTTAGACAGCAGAAGCCAGAGGAAGGAATGTTGCCAGATTCCCATTCAATGTGGTCCTTACAGACTTTAATGGACTGCTGTATTGACAAAAGCAGGTCTGTGCCTAAGTACAGGCTGAAGTTGTGGCTCTAATATTCATACATATGAATAAATACAGGTTTTGTTTGTAAAACTTTTAAACTCATTGCATATTAATTCTGACCTGTGTTAGTAACTAATGAATTATTTTCCATATGCCAAGTAGATTGTTATGTGCTATGAATACATTATTTCATTTAGTATCCACAACAATACTCTCAAGTAGATCTTACTTAGCTGTTACACAAGTGTAGAAACTGAGGCATGGAGAGGTTAAGTTGCTTGTCTAAGACCATAGAGTTGGCAGGTCTGAGACACAAACCCAGCCCCTTTTGATTCCAAAGCTCATTTTATTTAGGCTACAAAGTCACACTGCTTTGCTTCTGACATTCATCATATTCTGCCTCAATTGGCAAGCATTTGTCTGAGTTCTGCATTATGAGTCTTTCGGGAGTATTTACCTTACTTCTCTCTTATTAGCCCGAAATGCCATACACACAGCAGGCAAACAGTGATGTTTGCTATTGGTCCAAGCAGCAACCCGGTCTGTGAACTGAACATCACAGACTATGTGTGGTGGTTCTCCTCAACTCTTATTTTGAAAATTTAAACCTTACAGGAGAGTTTCAAGAATAATGCAGTGAACATCCATGTGTGTTCTACCTAGACTCACCAATTGGTTAACATGGTGAAATGTTAACCAAAAAACAAAAAATCTTTGTTTTTTGTCTTTTTCTTGACCTTTTTTGAGTCAGTTACAGACACGTGCTATTTCACTCCTAAGTACTTTAGTATATATCTCCTAAACCCAATGCCCTGTCGACCAAGATACAGTTATTGTTCTCAGAAAATTTCACATTGTTGCAATTCTAATGTACTCTACATTCAAATTGCTCCAATAATGTTTCTCAATAGCCAGGGTTTGTTGTTGTTTTTTATCCAGGGTACAATTGGGGCTTAATCTAGAACAGTTCAATAGTCTTTTTTTTTCTTTTATGAAATTTACATGTTTAAAGAGACCAGGCAGTTGTTTTGCAGAATGCCCCTCAATTTGTTTCCTCACGAACAGAGACAAATTGCATACTTTTGGCAAGAATAATTATCGTTCTCTCCTCTGTGCATCACATCAGGGAGCGCATGATGTCAGTCTGATTTCTTCAATGTGAAGGTTCTCTTTTCTCTTTAGTAAGTAATCTGATGGTGATACTTTGAAACGGCATAAATATCCTCAACCATTCTGCATCGTTAATTTTTTGCCTGAATCATTTGTTGGTGGTTCCAAAGTGATAATTTTCTACAATATTTCCACAATTTCTTCTACATTTATTAGCTGGTATTCTTCTCTAAAGAAGAGATTTCCCTCCCTCTCTCCGCCTTTGAATTATCATCTACCTATGGCTGCCAGTGTGTCTTGAATACATGACGTCACTCACATCCCTTGGGGTCCGTGTTTTCTCATCCTTAAGGTGAGATGACTTATGGGTCACATTCTTGAATTTTATTCAGTCGTTGACTTTTCCATAAAGCTCTGCAAGGCATCCGTCAGGGAATGAAAAGGCCAGGGCCAGACGTGCCAGGCCATTGCACCCACCAGCACCTCCTCTCCGCCCGCCTTCCCCACCGCCCCTTCCAAGACAACAGTAACTAGTAACCTCCCAGCATTCTCGCGAGAGCAAGCTCCTTCTGGAATAAAGGTGCGATTCCCCCAGGCTTCTCCGGCCTGCAGTCAATCCCTGCCCCGAGCACCTGCGTGCCGGGCTCTGCCGCGCACGCGCGCACACCCGGCCAGACAGTTGGTGGTGTGGGTTCGCTCCAGCTGTCCCTCTCCGCACGCCCCTCCGGGGCGCGCGACCCCGGTGTGACACCACGGCGCTTACGCGTTGCGGAGGGAGGCAGGGGCGCGCAGGCGCCGCAGGGAAGTAAGGCCGCGCAGGCGCGGACGGCGTTGGTTGAAGAAGACCTTCAGCGTTGCCCTAGCGGAGTACTTGCTCTCTGGGTGGAGGTGAGGAGGGCCGAGTCCGCGGGCCGGCTGGGGGGTGCTCGGGCTGTCTGTCACCACCCACATTGGGGTCCGAGGACCGGCAGGTCTATCGGAGAGGTCGGGAGGGAGAGAGCAGCCCAACGGGGCGCGGCGGGCCGGGCCGCCGACGGCAAAAGGGTCCTTGCTCCCCTGGCCGCTTCAGGTGATGGAGCCGCCGCGGCGGTGGGGCAGGCGGCGCTGGGAGCGCCGAGCCGCGATCTTCCCTCCTTGTGCCCTCGGGACTTTGTTTCTTTCTAGGGGTCAGCCAGAGAGGAGGTTGGTTTCTGGAGAAGTTGGGGCCTCGAACCCCTAACCCACTCCCCGCCCCCAGCTTCCCCTCAGGAATTGTTGTTCAGCATCAGGGGAGCCCTTCCCACTCACCGTCGAAGGGAGGACGCTGTACGTGCAAGTTAAATAGGAGAGATGAGGAACAAATCAGGGTCTTTACTGACTGTGGTTATTGAGTAAAGTAGTATTACCTAGTTAACGCCCTCCCTTCCCCCGTTTGCATCTAATGCAACCTCGGTACGTTGTGCATGGCTTAAACAACAAGTGCATTTTGTAGAGCTAATAGAAACACGTGATGATAGCTTCACTCTCGAGTAACGTGAAGTCTCTATGTCTTTTCGATTTTTTGCTTGATCATACCAGTCGTGCGTGTGGTGCGTGTCGTGTCCAATCGGAGTCGTGGGCCTGGAAAAGTAAGCTTGAACCAGGCAGAACTGAGGTCAGTTAGTAAACTAAAACAGCTGCACGACTTTTGCAAAGTGTCTGGCAGTGGTTTTCGAAAAGAAGGCAGAATACCGAAAGATTGTCATGAGTCCCTAGATGGATGTTTCTCAACACTTAAGTGCACTTGTTCTTTCATCAGGAGGTAAAAAATCAGACTGTAAAGCCTCAACATTTTTATTTGGATGTATAGTGCCTGCTTTTCTGTACTTAACTTCCCAAATTATGGTCTTCTGGTGAAATTTCAACAGATACCAGCATCAGTTGTGATAATAAAAAGTAATATCAGATTGCAGCTGGCAAAGTGTAAAATGTATAGAATTGATCATTTGAATACAAGGAACTGGTTGTCAAATAATTGCTCTGGATGTGAACTCTGAAACCTTGTGACTTAGAATAAGGTTTTATTATGGTATGAGTCAGTACACTTATCCCGACCCTTTTCATCTTTTATGTACTCTTTCCCTCTAACCGTGTCTGGGGGGGGGGTGTATTACACTGTTCCCTTAACATATAATGCCATATTTGACAGGCTTAGGTAAAGAAACAAAATTTTAATGAATTCACAATTAAGAGGTGCATCATAAGTGTATGGTATGTTCAGGTATGATGGTTTAGGCAGAAATTTAGCGGAAGGCCAGATTAAGACCTAGGCTAAATATAAGTACACATTCGTTTGCATGTGTAGGTAGTTCAGACATAGTAATTATAAGGGTTAGCTGGTGCTCTGGAATTTTCTGGTGTAGTGATTTGGGCTAATGAGGCTGCCTCAGGTGGTTCTGCAATTGGTTGCACATGGCTTTTGGCCCGCTGTAGGAGATTTCCCGTCACCCAAAGAGGGCAAAGGAATGGCATCTTCAGCAGTGTTAACAGAACTGAGAATTTCCATGTGAGAGCCATAGTGTCAGCGGAAAAGCTGGATATAAGGCAAGAGGAAAAGTCAAGGCACCTTGGGATTTTGAAGGCTTTAACTTTAGAGTGTACAGCAATTTGGGGGAAGCAGATTACTGGAGGTAGAATTAATTTATCATATTTCTGGTTAATAGGTATAGCACTTTATTTTAAGACCAGCTTTGAGAGAGGGCATGTTCTGGATAAGTGAATACATTTCAATTAGTATGGTAATTCTTAACAATTAAGAGCTAAATTTCAGAGTGGTAAAAACGTTAACCCTGAAGATTTTTTAATGCATCTGTTTAAGCTGCATTAAAAAGCTGTACAGTTCCTTAACAAATTTGCCTTGTTGCCTAATAGAGCTCTTTGGCTTTACAACAGCCCAAGAAATGTTTTTCAAATGTAAATTTTCCTTTTCTTAAAGCAAGAAGGTTAAATTAACACATTTCTCCTTCAGCCTGTGGGAAATTTCTTTTCTTTGAAATGGAATCGTGAAGATGACCTCTGGACTTCCCTGGGAAAAACCCTTTTATTCTTTTTGGGAAAGCTCCTTTTAAAGGAACAGGATGCCTTCTCAGCTTTGCTTGCATTAGGGTATAAGCTTTAATGATACAAAGGAAGAGAAAACCTCTTCTCACAGCACTAAATAGTAGAAGGACAAAGGGTGAATAAATACTAAATGGTTATTTTTATTCCATTGTCCCCATTTTTCTCGATAAGATATGTGTAACACACCAACTTACTGTGACCTAGGAAAGGCTGCCAAGGATGTCTTCAACAAAGGATATGGTAAGTATGGTTTTGTTAAGTGTTCAATTTTGTTTATGGGTTAATATTGAATGCCTGTTATACTGTGCTAGTAAAATGAGGTTAAGTCAACATTAATGTGTCTCACAAGGTTTAAGGGGATAGCTGTTAACAGGTTGTTAGACTTCATATTTTAGAGGTTGAGTCCCCCAGGCTTTACAAACAATTGTGTGTGTATATGTACACACACACACACACACACACACACACTCATAGTTAATATTACCTGTGAGACCAAATAATGTAAATCTGTAATATGTATACCTCTCTGGCTAGCCCTGGTGACCTTTAATGTAGGGGTGCATTTTTCCTTCTCCAAATAATGGCCTTATTTTTGTGGGAGTGAAGACACAGCTTTTGACCACTTTGCAGTAACATTTTTTTTATCCAGATAGACATTTATTTTTAGTTTTTAAGGTTTAGTCTTTAAACTTATTGTGTTGTACACATTTTTTATTAATTTTTTAAATATTTATTTATTTATTTATTTATTTATTTATTTATTTATTTATCTTTAGCGGGGAAGGAGAGAGGGAGAGAAACATCAATGTATGGTTGCCTCTAGTGCGTCCCCTGCTGGGAAATGGCCTGCAGGGAACTGGCTTGCAACCCAGGCATGTGCCCTGACTGGGAATTGAACCGCGATCCTCTGGTTCGCAGACCTGCGCTCAATCCACTGAGCTACACCAGCCAGGGTCACATTTTTTTATTAACTAGTAATGTTAATTGGGTATACTTTAAGCTGTATATGTATATGCATGGTATTTTTTAATAATTCTAGTTCTCATGGGCTGGCTTTAGCTCAGCGGGTACTTTGATTCACAATAATTCTAGTTCTCAGAATAGTACATATTCCTTTATCACTTGTTCTTAAATTTACCATTCTAACGCATGTTTAGTATTTTGAGAGGGTTAAAAATTAGCTTAAGTTATTTCATTATAATTCAGTTTCTCTTGAAACTCTCACCTAAGGTAAACACTGTCTATTTTCCATATGGAAGGTACTATGGACTATTTTCATAGTTTCTAAGTTGCAAAAATTGGAGTGAATGTCACATTTTGTAAGTTACTGTGTTTTTGTGTGTGCATCTAGGGTTTGGCATGGTCAAAATCGACCTGAGAACCAAGTCATGTAGTGGAGTGGTAAGTACCCAATATATTTTCTGTGGCCTGTAGATGTAGCCTGATTAACTGAAAGGAACCTGTTTAAAAATCAGCGTTTAGCCTAGGTATGTGAAGCAGCATACTTTGGACTCTGCTCCCTCCTCCCTACAGCTTCATCTCACTCTCAGATTTCAGTGAGAATCCTCACTCACCACGTAGGCCTTATAGTGTATGCCATGTTGTCATGTCTTCTTCACAAATGTGGCACCGAAAACTTGACCTTCATTGTATTGGGTTCATGCAAGTTTTGTCACCCTTTTACAAGAACAAATTAATTTTAGTCTGTCCCTTCATGATTAATTGAAGCAAATGTAGAAATAAAATGCACATAGAAATTAGTTTACAGTTTTTATTGATGTTCATAAAGTCTTTTTTTACTGGAAATTAAGAATATAGTCAGATACATGTACATATTTTTCAAAGCATCATTAACCAGAGTTTTTACTCAGTAAGTTTGAGCAACTAAATTAACCATACATTCACTTCATTTTCTGATTTCTCCTTATTGGCTGCATCTTTTTTGGTATTACTTATTCAAACCAGTGCAAATTTTATTTCTAGGTATAATGATTTAATTAGAAGGGTAGGAGGAATGTGGAATTCTTACGGTACTTTGTCTCATACTCGGTATTTTGTCTCATACTTGGTATAATCATGGTTTGTCACTGTCATTCTTTCCCTGGGTCTTCTCATGATGAATAAATACATATGCAGCTGTCCTACTAGGATGGGGATACTCTATATCGTTCTGTTAAAATGGAAATATTATACTCTTGAGTAGTGTTTCAGAATTTGCTCAAGTCAGGTTTGTGTTGCAAAAACCGTCAACTAAAATTTTATCTCCCTTTCATGCTGCTGTGGTGGGAATATTCACTCAGATGGTAAGAAAAACAAAGCATATTTGTGTGCTCGTTTTATGGCTGCTTTTGGTCTCTGGTACTGATTGATGATAAATTACATCCACTGCCCCAAATTTATTGCTCTTTGATATTTTTATTTTATGTCATCTATTTAACAGTAACATTTTAAAGATTGTTTTGTTGCTTTCTAGCATTTAACGTAGAGCTGTAGATGTTATGTGCATGTTGTAAATGTATTTTGCAGTGTTTGATCTAATTATGAAATTAGACAAAAGCGATTATAAGCTTGGAACTGAACTTAGAAAAATAGCACCCTTCTCTTGAGATTCATGTCTCTGGTATTTTAGACTTTTGACAAAGCTTCAAACTAAGAAATGATGGTAAAAAGGAAGAAAAATAGACTACTCTTTTACCTTGATTTTGAGCACCAAAATTAAGGTTTATATTTGCTGTACTTTCAAGTGTGTGAAAGGTAAATGTAAAAAATAAAGCACTGGGTAGTTGGAGCTACTAGAAACTAGAAGAATGCGCCATTCAAATTAACTAATTGTGTGAACTGTTAAACATGGTTAGGTTTTTATCATTTCTCACTAAGGCCTTGCCCTAAGTGTGCAGCATGATATTCTCTTTGAAAACTTTCTGTGTGGTGTTGATAAACAGATCAGAGTTTTCCAGTTGTTTCATCAGCCTAGAACCAAAGTTAGTGAGCAGGGTATTTGGTAAAGGAAGGGTTCATATTGCAGGCAGTGAAATGTAACTGATCAAGTCTGGCAGCATTTCAGAAATGTTCTTTAAAAACAGGGCCTGTCAGAATGGGTTTTTCTTGACAGTTCATAGATTGTCAGTGACAGGTGTTGGCTGTTTGCTTCCCCCTAGAAGGATATCTTTTTCTAATAGCTTATTGTCATATGACTGAAATGACATCTAAGTCAGGAGGAGTAGCTATTTTAAGGCACTCATAGTAACTCTTTGATAGAAAGCACTTTAAAAAGATAGGTGGAGAAGGGAGAAAGGATAAATTATGACTTTGCATTCATTAAAAAAATGGATAGACATTTTCAAATAATAAAATTGTGCTTAAAGTTTTATAGCTAGTTTTATGGACAAAAGTAATAAAGTTTTCTTAACAGTGAATGTATTAAATGCCACTGAACTTTACACTTAAAATTGTACATTTATATTGTATATTTTATTGTGATAGAGTTCTGACCTTATTAAAAGGGAGGAGGGAGGCTAGTGAGTCCTCTGATTTGGGAATTTTTAAGGACTTTAAAATTAACTAATGGCTTAAATGATGACAGAGAACTGATCATCTTTTTTAGGCCATGAAAGTAAAATGTTCAAGGTTCTCTATTTTGCTTTTTTAGTGAAGGCACTTCTTTTCAGTTAAGATATTTCTTTTAAAGGAGAGAATTTAAGATTTCCATTTAGTAAGAGAATGTGAAACAAAAAACACTAGTAAGAGAGGTGGAGTAGTGGAGAGATCTAAAACTGGTTAACAAATTAGAGATAAGAGAGAAGGAAAGCAGGCGCTGAGTTGCTGTAGAGGAGGGCTGCGGGGAAACGTAAATCGTACTGCGTGTGGCGCACTGAACACTGCTTTCTGAAATGATCTTTTTCTGTTTGACGGGCTCCCTTTAAAGTAGTTATTTTTTTATTGCTTAGGAATTTTCTACTTCTGGTCATGCTTATACTGATACAGGGAAAGCTTCAGGCAACCTAGAGACCAAATATAAGGTCTGTAACTATGGACTTACCTTCACCCAAAAATGGAACACAGACAATACTCTTGGAACAGAAATCTCTTGGGAGAATAAGGTAAAAGAAAGCATTAGAAGTTATTTGTATGTTAAATTTATCTTGCAGATAAGATGATGAACAAACCCCAAAAGGTAACCTGAGCGAAATCTTACAACCTATCCAGTAGCCATATTTTCTCTTTGTACATGGCCTTCTTTGGTATGTCTTCTGTTTTTAGAAAGTAAGGGTTTGTGACTACAGAATTATCACTCTTCATCTTTATTCTGAATTTTTCTGCTTACTCTTATATTGGGTTGGCCAAAATGTTTTAGGTTTTCCTATATGATGGCTCTAATAGTGCTTAGTTGTCTGTAACTTCATTTAAAACAATTTTGTTAAATTGTATTGTGACAGCTGTCATATCAGCCTGTATTTTTTTAAAAACTTACCAAAAGTGGTGAATTTTTGTGCAGCCATTTTAATATTGAAGGTGGAAGAAGGTAACGCAATATTTTTGGCATATTCTTTATTATTTCAAGAAAGGTAAAATTGCAACTGAAATGCAAAAAAGGGATTTGTGCAGTGTATGGAGAAGGTGCTGTGATTAATTGAATGTGTCAAAGTGGTTTGTCAAGTTTCTTGGTACTATTGGCATTTTGGCCAAATAACGCTTTGCTCTGGGACTGTCTTATGCATTGGAAGGTGTTTAGCAGCATCCCTGGCCTGTGCCCACTAGAAGCTAATAGCAGGAAATAGCCAACATATTCAGAATATCCAAATCAATAAAGTTATTGTTGAAAATGAAAAATGTGTCTTTTACCCAGAACACTAAACACACCTTTTGGTCAACCCAATACATCTGAGCCTCTCTTCTGGGTAGACCAAACTATTTGCAATGATTTAGTTTTAATTTTGTCTTGTAAACATTGAAAAATCAGCTCCACAGAAAAATGTCCTAAAATTCTATAATGTTTTTCAAGAGAAAATCTATCAGGTATTTGTCAGGGTTACTATATATAGGGCACTGTGTTTCAAGGTCTGTCTACATGCACATTACCACATATAGGTAATATAAATGGACAGCTGAATAAATAAGTTGGCTTGTTAAATAATCAGTTTGTCTTAACTAACCAATAAATTTTAAGAGAATATCAATACTATTTAGTTGTGTTGGGATTTTGTTGTTTTTGAATTGTGATTTATGTTACTGTCTGGAAGAGAATTTGACCTTTATAGTTTAACCTGTTTTGGGGGGAAAGAATCATGATGATGATGAAGCCTCGGGGGAGGGGGAGGGGGAAGAGGTTATTTATTAAATATAATATTTGTCTTTCTTTAATGACTTTTGTATTAGAGAGGAAGTTTTAGAAAACTTTAGAATTGGTTTATTGAGTCAAAATAAGAATCAAAAGTTATTAATTATTAATTTTAAATCTTTATTTTTCAGTTGGCTGAAGGGTTGAAACTTACCCTTGATACCATATTTGTACCGAACACAGGGTAATTATCCAAACCATGATTTCTGAAATGTGTTTTAGCCTATAAGGAGGTTTAGGATAGGGAGTTGAAATAAAAAGTTTTGATGCAGAAGAGCTGAGGAGGTTGCTGTAAGGGGTATGAGAAACCTTGTGTGTGCAGTAAAGAGAAAAGAAAAAGAAGACTCCCTTGAGGCAGGTAAAATTTTTATTTGAAAATTGATCACAAAGCCCTGGTGGTGTAGCTCAGTGGATTGAGTGCCTGCCTGCAAACCAAAGGATCTCTGGTTTGATTCCCAGTCAAGGCATATGCTTGGGTTGGAGGCCAGGTCCCTAGTGAGGGTGTGCAAGAGGCAACCACACACTGATGTTTCCTCTCCCTGTCTTTCTCTCCCCCTCCCCTCTCTCTCCCCCTCTTTCTCCCTCCCCCCCTCTATAAATATATAAATAAATAAATCTTAAAAAAAGATTGATCAGATGAACAAAAACATAAATCTAGTCCAGAGAGGCACATAGTAAAAATGTTTAGTAACCAGAAGGGTTTGAGATTAAATATATCTTAAGCTTTTTTAAAAATTCATGGATGTGGTATTTTGCTGAGAGATTCTTAAGAAAACAATGTAAATCTCCCGGCTGTAGAACATTATAACAAGTAGTTCTGCTATTGACTTAACTTTCTTATCCTGTATAATTCCTCCCAACATTTCTTCTTCGTTTTTTTCTAAAAAATGGAGATGATGATGTTTCTTATCTGCCTATCATGGGCCAAGGCTATCAGAAGGACAAAGGTGCTAGATAAAGGCAGAGTATCATTTCTTAGCTGTAACAACAGGTGTGTCCTTCCTGCCATAACTTTAGTTATGTGCAGGACACATATTCTCTCAAAGAGGCCTGCTTGGAATAGAAAAGGATTATTAAGAACGAATTTCAGTATTGTCCTTCAAAAATGCACACATTCTTCCATCTGTCTAACACAGAGAAGACATCCTAAGGAAAATAAATATGCTTACCAAAGAGTGGTACCTTTAAAGAAAAAAGTAAATTTCTATCCATGATAGGGTAACAAGTTAAAAATGAAGTGGTTTGGGTGTTGTTACCTTTTGTAGCATTTGGGCATTTGGAAATATTAAAAGAAATTTGGCTTATCATTCACATTATTAATTGGTAATGAAATACCTTATTCCTTTTTATACCTTTGTTCATACTTTCAAGAAATCATGAAATACCCTATCATTTGACCTTATAGTGAGGAATAGGTAAAAATAGTACATATATTTCTAATGCTAAGTCATTTGAAACATTTTTGCTATATGTGTGCCATCTACCACTGAGGGAAAGAGGGGATCGTACCCTAAAGATTGCTGGACAGTAGTAGAAACTTGCATTGTTTACATTGTATTGTATTTGTTTTTCACAGAAAGAAGAGTGGGAAATTGAAGGCCTCCTATAAAAGGGATTGTTTCAGTCTTGGCAGTAATGTTGACATAGATTTTTCTGGCCCAACCATCTATGGCTGGGCTGTATTAGCCTTAGAAGGTTGGCTTGCTGGCTATCAGATGAGTTTTGACACGGCCAAATCCAAACTGTCACAGAATAACTTCGCCCTGGGATACAAGGCTGCAGACTTCCAGCTGCACACTCACGTGTGAGTATTTACAACTGATTCCTTCTTTAGTGCCAGTACAGTCGCCCAAAAAGTTGGTAGCCATTAGCATGTTGAGAAGGTTAGAAGTGATAGTAATTGCATTTAATATGCTTTGGAGGACATCTGACCTCACTGCACTGTTTTTATAGTCAGCAAAACATTGCCAGAGATTAGTGCACTTAATGTGTTGTGCTGTGTTGCTGGTAGTTACTGGCTTCTCAGCCTCTACCCCAAACTCTTTGAAGTTCTAGAATCTGTAGAAGAAGCATTGAGATGGAGAGAGCCCAGGCCATGGGTCACCTCCTAATATAAGGGATCCGTTGGAGATGTTCCAGTTTTCTCTGGTGCCCTACACAGCTTGGCAGTGTTTGGAAGTAGGTCTGTTTGGAGTGTGAAGAACAACTGCCTAATTGACCTGAGCATTCTGGAACATCCCCTATAATTCCCCAGAGGTTTTCACTGACCTTTGGTCAGAAGTAGCAGATCCTCAAAGCAGTTCTGGGTTCCATTCTGTAGGCTGCAACCCGTTGGTGAAATGAATTTGAACTTTTAAATTTTATGTCGTGGGCTACTAGGCATTGCTACTACCATGAAGAGAAAGCAAAGGATGAGCTATGTGTTTCTGAAGTGTTCCCTGTCTCTCTTCACTAGACATTCTAATCTACTTACACTGACTAAAATAAAGTTACACAGTGGTATATAGGCAGTGGCATTACAATTGATGAAAAAAGTGTTCATCAGGAAAACCATGAAAACTCAGGGACTGACTTCTAGGATGCTTTGAAGCAGTTTAGGTACTTCTCTGGAGCAGTGCCACTAGGTTTTATAGGGAGGGTGCTTTCTAATTCTAGGACTCTGTTTTAAATGAAATCCAAAATTGGTATTCTTCCCATATTTGTGCCCCTATGTGTATATTTCTGTGGGATCTTTATTGAAGTTTATAAAATGTGTGAACATCTCAGACTATAGGTCATATTTACCTGAGGTGCCTGCCTTTGTGCATAACTTAATTGTGAATAAGAAGTTTATGTCATGTGGAGAAGCCAAGTAAATGAATCGAGTGTTAACTGCATTTTAATAAGGCGGTTAAAGCCCTAGCTGGTTAGCTCAGTGGATTGAGCACAGGCCTGTGAAGAAAAGGGTCGCTGGTTCAGTTCCCCCATCAGGACACATGCCTCGGTTGCAAGCCAGGTCTCCAGTAGGGGACACATGAGAGGCAACCACACACTGATGTTTCTCTCCCACTCTTTCTCCTTCCCTTCCCCTCTCTCTAAAAGTAAATAAATGAAATCTTAAAAAAAAAAAAAGGTGGTTATATTACATGACTAGATTTAGTTCCTTATTTTGTTGGAAATCATTCATGCCAGAAGTTTGCTGAAATCTATAGTTGCAAAGTGATACCTTGTTCTGATAGTTTTAGAATTTGTCTCCATATTGTTAACAGTGGTACAAATTAGAAGTTTATGACTTTTTCTTACACCATGAAAACAGGAATGATGGCACTGAATTTGGAGGGTCTATCTACCAGAAGGTTAATGAGAAGATTGAAACATCAATAAACCTTGCCTGGACAGCTGGCAGTAACAACACCCGTTTCGGCATCGCTGCTAAATACAAGTTGGATTGTAGAACTTCTCTCTCTGTAAGGATGTGCTCCCAGATGGTGTCTGCTCTTAGGCTTTTACCCGAGTTATTGATGAAAGCTGTGGTGTGGTTGTAGTTGGCGTGTTCTTCATTAACTTTAATGAGCTAGTCATTGTGTAGTGTAAGGAGTATTACACTTGAAGTCAGGAAACTGGGTTCCAGTCCTAGTTCCTCCTGTGTGTGGCTGTCTGACTTTCTCAAGTCATTTTTTCTTTTTGGCCCCCAAATTTTCTTATCTGTAAATTCATGGGATTTGATTACTCTTCCTGTTGGTTTTAGTAACTCTCAATAACACTGATTGGGCTCTTAAATTTCAGATACTGTGCTAAGGACTTTACATGTATTATCTCATTTAATCCTCACAACTACCATAGGTGGTGGGTAGTATCTTCATCCTCATTTTACAGATGAGGGAACTGAGGCTTAGGTCAGGTAGCTTACCCAAGGTCGCACAATTAAGCAGCAGTGCCAAGATTTGAGCCAGGTCTGTCCCTCACCAGAGTCCATGTTCTAGCCACTGTCAGAGGTTGTGAACTGGTATCTCAGGGAGTTCAGTTCACAGGGATACTTGGCTGCAGGGTGTCTTAGAAATATTGGCTTGAGACCTCTAAGCCTACATTCTCAAGGTCCCTGAAAAGATTCATCTTCTTATTAATTACATTTTCAGTTTCATGCATTCTAGATTGGCCCTAAGGTGCTTTAGCTTTGGAAATTGGATGCGCGAAGTGGTCATACTGGACTTACAAGTTAAAAGAGTGTCTTCTTACTGTTTCTGTTTCATCCTCTAACCTTAGGCTAAAGTAAATAATGCCAGCCTGATCGGACTGGGTTATACTCAGACTCTTCGACCAGGTAAGTAAAGGAATTAATAATAGTGGGGGTAGGGTGGAAGGTGATAGAGCAATAATGAAAATAACCTGTAAAACAACCTACAGTCACTGTTGGCTTATTCAGATCATTTTGTAACATTTGTTTGGTCATACAAAGTAAAATAAATCAAGTACTTTTGCTTAAAAACATTTTATGTATTTCTAACTATAATTTGGTCACTCTGGCTTTTAAGTTTGGCTGATGACTTATTATTCTTAACCTGAATTCCAGATAAATTTTGCCATGATTATGCTTTACTCATTATAGATTGGATGATTACAGATAACCCTGTGTTAAGTTCAGTAATAGCTGTATGCTTGTAACTCTTACACCCAGCTGTGATCCATGCCATTGGCTCCACCCATTGTTTCTAGAAAATGCAGATCCGATTGTAATAGTTGTTACAAGTGATTGTGGTGTTTTCTTCTTCCTAGGAGTCAAACTGACCCTATCAGCTTTAATCGATGGAAAGAACTTCAATGCAGGCGGTCACAAGGTTGGGTTGGGATTTGAACTAGAAGCTTAATGAGGTTTTGAATAAAGCATTAGATTTCTCCCTGGAGACGAAGAGAAATGAACCCACTATGTTTTGGCCTTAAAATTCTTCTCTGAAATTTCAAAAGTGTGAACTTTTTATTCTTCCAAAGAATTGTAATCCTCCCGCACACTGAAGTCTAGAGATTAGGAGTCCACCCAAGGGAGGTGCTGGAAGGCATGCCTGGGAGTTGTCATACCTGTGCCACATTTCAGTTCAGTTCCGCAGTGTTATTTTAAATGTGATCCTCAGCGACAGTGTAGAGTCACGTTGTAAAGGAGATAACCCGATCCTCCAGTTTGTATATCACGTCCTGCATGTCCCACACGACTTTTTCATGACCTTTTAATATATTGATCTCTGTGCTGTAGTGGAGTCTTTGGTTTTGCATCAGAACAAAATAAAATAAACCCATCACATTTGAAAATAATCACTCATCTGACTTGATAGTGGTGGCTTGCTTATATTTGGTGCGATTTGCTTTGAAAAATACTTTCATAGATGGATTTATGCTTAAAGTGGTATGTCTAAAATATCTATACTATTGCCTATCCCTTTCATTTTAGTTTACCTCTCTCTCCTTGCTTCTCTGCACTCAGGCTGAAGCGTGAAACTAAATGTTGTTCTACTAGGCAGAAGCTCATCTGTTGAGGTACTTCCTGTAGCAGTGGGATAGAGTGTCAGTCGGTAGTTGTGAGAAAAAGCGAGATGCGAGGGGTGAAAAGACTGGCCCAGGGAAGAGTACAATTGAGGGGAAGCACTGTAGGGAGGAGGAGCTAGGAGGGGCAAAGCCGGCAGAGGGCACCTGTGTGGCTCCTCCCAAGCCTCCAGAAAATGTTTCATTACTAGGTGTAGAAAAATGATAGCCAAAGGATGGAAATACCAGTTTAGAAAAAAAATAGTAGACTATGATCACGGCTTTATGGTAAGTCATCTTCCTTTTTAAAAGTAGAACTCCTTTTGAAAAAAAAATTTTAAACAATATATGTGCTGTTTACAGCAAATTCAGTCAGTTCAGACATAGATAAAATAGAAAATTGCCCTTCTTTTCTCCAAACCCTATTTCTTCTGCTACCACTAAGTTCGATATATGTCCTTGCAGATACTTTTCAGTGTCTTTAGGAATTACATAAATACCTGTATATGATATTAAAATGCACATCTTGTTTCACAGTATACTTTCAAATTTGACATACAGAGAACCCTTTTGTTTGTTTGTTCATATACATCTGCTTCGTGGTGTTTTTTTTTTGCACTGGTGGGTTGAACCACCATGACTGGAGATAGAGTGTAACAGGAAAGGAAAGGGAATGAGGGAAGTGACATTCATTCTGTGCTGTTGACACCTGTATCTGGTTAACTCTGTCTTACTGGATGGGCTTGACACACAGCGTGAGAGTGGATGGGTGCTCACACGGGTGCTCCTGTGCTGCATGTGGGCACCTCTTTCTGGTCTGGAGCAGAGGAATATGGCGTTTGAGTCGATGGCTAACCGCCGTGTGTTAGAGGAGTGTTGCTATGGGGCGGTTCCGTCTAGTGTTGTTAAGGGTAGGGGTCATAAGGAAATACAGGAAACACCGAGGAGATGTACCTCTAATTTGTTGGCCATGTACCTGATGAAGTTGTGTTATGGTTTAAATTAAATGGGGAGTAAATAGGTTTATGACTTTTTCCTTTCCTGTAGGAAAGGAAATAGGAATTATGGCTTTAATCCATTTTAAAGTATTTATTATCATAGAGCTAAAGAGCTGATTTTTTGTGTGTGGATAAAGTAACCCATATATGAATACACACAGGCAGTTTAAAAGTCAGCCTTTATTCAGTTGTTTTATTGAGTTACCTGGCAGGCTAGGCTGTGTCCTAAATGTCCTCGTCATTGTGGGAGTCATTAGGTTGTAGCAGAAAGGAAAGCACATTTCTTGGGCTTCAGTGCCATGCACCATGCTGATAATCAGATGTATATTATATATGACAAATGTATAACCCATTTCATACTCAACAGTAACTGCAAACATCAGGAAGAAAAGCCCACAGGAGGTGCTCTAGGATGGTGCAACTCCCGCGGTTTCTCCAAATGAAAATTCTCAGTAGCTCCCTGCTCTCCTCAGTGAAATGCACGTGAGCACCTTCCCCCTTCTGCTCCCCTAGCTTTCTCCTCCTTCCCTATTTCCTCTCCCATTTCTCTCCAATTTAGCCTTTTCAGTCCTATGGCCACTCCCTTTATTTGATTTTAATTTTTTATATTGATTTATCGAGACATTGTCTTGCCCTTTGAGTCTTACTCAAGATAATGTAAATGGCCTTCATCACAGCCTTCTGAGCTTTTTGTGCCTGGGAGTAGAGAACTAACATCTTAGTATGAGTATTTAATGCCAGTGGATTCTTTGATTCAGTAACTCCGCTTTTAGGCATTTGCCTTAGGGAAATCATCTGAGATGCACAAAGATTTATATACAAGGTTTCTCATAATAGAAATTGGTAGCCATCTGAACGATGTACATATAATACACATACCATACATGAATGAGGGTATGTATAGTAAATGGAATATTATTAAGATAAAAATGTTTTTGAAGAATAACAACCATTGAGGGTTATTCACAATATGTTAAATAGGAAAAGCAAAGTAAAATAATCTCAATTTTATTTTTTAAAGTATGTGCAAATACTGGAGAAAATGCTCTAAGATATTAATATTCATGATCTCAGGAAGGTGAAATCATAGGTAGTTTTCGTTTATTTTATACTTGGCGATATTTGTCTGGTGTTCTGAAGTACATTCCTTGTGTCTGTCTTTAGGCAAAACTCTTCTCGTGTTACTTTCTGAAAGAGGCCGTGGGCTGGCTGTGTTCTAACTGGTGATAAGAGCACTTGGGGCTCCACATGAGGTTTTTCTTGAACTTCGTAATAATATAGTTCACACATATTTTAAATACTAATTGTTACAAGAGACCAGGAAGACATCACAACTAATCCATCATTATCCTCGAGCATCATTGCTCAAGGGGCAGAGGACAATAAATGTCCCAAAGTTTCATTAAGTTACTAAATGTGTGTCCTTGGAAGCTCACTGCCAACTTGGTCAAGCCTCAGGTCCTAGAATCGGGAACAAGAGAAGTCAAAGCCATGTCTGGGTCTCCCTACAGTGGTACCCACATAAATAATAAGAAGACCACTCTGTTTCCTGCACATTGAAGACTGTCCTTCCCTCCCAGCCTAAAGCCTCTGGTTGTGCGTGCTTTACATGTCCTCTGATTTTGTTTCCTCTGCTTGTTTCCCGTTACAAAGCCCCTTTTTCTTTTGCCCTCCACTTAAATGTTGGCATTCAGGTCCTACGCTCTATTCTTTAACTCTACACTTTGGTGATATGTTTGTAAGGAGTCTTTTCAAATCACATCTGCCTGTCCTTAGGTTCTGATATGCCTCAGGGGCATTTGCACAGTAAGGGTGGTCTGATAGCACCATTTTTTTTTCCCTTTTAATTCAAGTACAGTTTTCTGCATTAACCCTGCTCATTACCTGTCCTGATAGTAGCACCATGTTATTCAGATTTGAAACAATTGTCAATTAGGACAATGTGTCAGTGGTCGGAGGCCAAAAGCTTCACCTTTCCCTCTGAAGGCTCATTGATACTCTCGCTCTGGGTGAGTGACAGCAGTGCTGGGCCAGGGGTAGGCCTTCTCTTCTGCCTGGGTTGGGTGGTATGAAGGAGGGGAATTCTTGTGCTCGGAGGTCAGTCTCTCCCCCAAGAAGAAGAGAGGAGGAACTGACTCTAACATTCCTGGTTTATTCTCCCCAAGTGTACCCATCATGCATTCCTTTCTTCCCGTAGAGGGACTAAGAGGGTAGATAGAGGCCAAAGTATGGTGCTAATGGTGGTCCAGTCACTTGGAATGAGACATTTAAGAACAGGGCATGGCTTTCATAGTGTATGACAAGCCATAGCCAGTCTCTCCCTTCTCCCAGAGATTTGGCTTGTTCACTTAGGAAATCTGTCCAGATCTTGAAGTCGGAGTGAGTGGAGTATGTGCTTCATCACATCTTCCTGGTGATGTTCATGTACTTACTCTGCTCAGCCTTTGGACACTCCTCCTGTCTTCCCAGACAGCTGCCTCCCAAAACTCACAACTCCCAAAGCTTGTCCACCTCTGAGAAGGCTCTCCTGCCCTCTAAACCTTTACTGCCAGCTGCCTGGTAAACACCTCTTTCCATAGTCTGCAGGCATCTAAGGTTCACCATTTCCCAACCTAAACCAACGCTTTTGCTGGGAATTTTGCAGCTAAATCTGTCTCTTCGGTGACAACTTTCTGACCTCCCGAAGCCATTCAGTGGCCCTCCCCCAGTGTCCCTCTGTGGACATGTCCTCGTGGTGACAGCAACCACACGGTGTTGCTGTTTTGTTTACTGTCTCCTCTCCTGCCTGTGAACTCCTAGAAGACAATCTTTTGTCTTCCTACCTCCAGTGGCCAGGCCAGCACTGGACACATGACAGGTAGCCAATGGATGTTTGCTGAATGAATGAAAATGGGTCAGCCATCAGGCAGGTGGGCTTGTTTGGCTTCCAACTCATGAGGGTTTCTGCATACAGATTGAGGTTCTACTTTGGCATGCATTCATAGTTCCATGGGGCCATCGAAGAAGCACAGACAGTTCCTAGCAACTCTTTTGAATTATGGTATGATTAACATTGTGATGTGACTTCACTGGCAATTTAGAAAGGTTCTAGAAAGGTGGTCATAGTTGCAATTACACTGGACCCCACTGGGTGCCGCTGTTGTCACTGCTAATGAAAGATAATGGCCCAGCTGTTGGGGGATCTCTGCCTTCTGCCCATGAGCTCAGTCTATCTCCTTTTGAGCTTCTCACTCTCTTCCCCAACACCTGCCTACTCATAGTTGGGAATCTCAACATTCAGGGTTTGGTTTAACCTTGCAATGTCGAGCCTTGAGGAAAAGCAAGGAAATTCTCTATCCTACTCTGGTCCAAATCCCTTTTGCTGTTTGTTCTGTTCTGGCCAGTGGAGATGGAGAACAGTTGATCACCCTTGTTGAGTCTGAAATTCCTTACTTAAAATCAAATTTAATTCCTAATACTTCCTTAATAAACAGAATAAATCTCACCCATTCTTCCTGGGTTTCCTTTCCAAGTTCTTAATTACCTACCACTGTTACTTCTGAATCCTCCTCCCAGGCCCACCAGTCCTTTTTCTGGAGACCGCAACAGTGGGCGTGGTCTGACAGCTGCTGCACTGGAAGAAGCTGACAGAAAGTCAGGAAGCCGGGGGCCTACTCTGGCCCTGTTGCCATTTGGCTGCCTAAACTTCATCTCGTTCCGTGCCTTAGCTTCCCAGTGCTTGGCTAGCTCCAGGTGTTTTAAAACCAGTGTTTCAAGGATTGTAGTGGGATGATGGAGTATGGGTGACTTCTTCCT